TCTGCACTTTCTCTTACATTTCTCACGTTTCGTCAACCGCGACCATGCACGGACCAGATAGTCTGGAATTCACTAGAACATAGCTTGATAACCAGACTTAATTCATTCACTTTCCATTTCACCTTTAAGATGCCCCTGTTCGCAGTTTACTTGCAACTTACGACGATCGCAACATTGCAAAAGATAGTTTGCACAAAGGCTGCCCCGTCGTTGCGACTCAAGCTCCCAGGAATTTTCTACTATTATTGCCCGCACGGCTTGTGCTTGGGGTTCTCGATATTGCATGACCATGAGTCCCCAGCACACCATTTTGTTCCAGAGATGGCGGAGAACCGATGCAATGCGCATTGACGTAATGGACAACGACTGCAACCTTCACACCTACTGCTTGAAGAGCGAATCTAGTTTTTTCCACAACATGTGGTTCCTCATTGACCGCCTTCACTACAAGAACCATGTCAACTGCTCGTCTGGCTATAATATCGACAATTTCCCATTACTGCGCGACCTCAGCACAGTTGCTTGTGAAATCATCAATGCTACACTAAAACCGGTGACACTACAAAACGGCTTCATGGGAGTCGAGCGCTTTTTACTGTTTACAAAGCACTACATGAAATCAGTCTAGGTAAGACGTGTCAAGCGCGTACAATAAGAAATGCAACAAGCCAGGTCGAAACGAGAAGTGTGGAAAGCCATGAATGCATTGATTCAAGGGATGCAAGTGGTCATGTTGGAGGAAAACGAAGCGCCTCGCACAACGAACAACCTCTGCGTATTTTGTCTATGACCTAGCACACATCACATGTGTAATAACAATGGACATATACTTGTGCATTTGAAGTTGCTATGCTTACAAATGATTGATAATTTACGAACTGAGTCAGCAATACGTGAAGTACACTCACGCGCGCAGGCGGGGAGGTTTAACCACCGCGAGCTCTCCAGTAGTGGACTAAGTGCCGTCGGGACCAACTTCACACCGAATGACAAGCACCTCACTGCGCTGCTTAGTCTTGTCCTCATGGATTCTTTTACCGGGACACTGTGTCCATGTTCCTGGTAGCATTCAACACAGTCGACTTCACGCCATAAGGCTCCCTTCGAGCCCATGGTGAATTTATTGCGGCTCATCCACTTGCCGTTGGGTTTCGGTACCCAAACCAAGAGTGCACGACCCGCTGCCCCATGTCCACACTTGGACATTTGTGAGCAATGCGCCGCCTGCCAGTAGCCGTGCCAGTCGCTGTGCCAGACTTTGGCGATTTTTTGCGTCGAGTCCATCCATGCCGACGAGATTTCTCGACCACGGTTCAGGCCAAACATACGTAAGCTTCCAGTTGCGCCGTCGACGAGCGCTAGGTTTTGCAAATGCGCAGACACGTGGGAGACCCTGCCCCCACGCAGCCCTAGCTTGTCGTATGTGACGAGATGGAGGGACTCGGACGATGGCGGTTGCCGGGGTTTCGTGCCACAAGTAGACTAGACTAGGTCAAGCTTGGACAGCGCCACGGTAAAGTCTCAGCCCGCGACCATGCGCTCAATGGGTCACGCGAGTCCGACGCAATGGAAAACAACTTCGTCTGAGCGATGGAGTGGATATTTTCGATGTGACATGTCTTGATCGAGCCGTCTGCGAGGAGCAGCGCGACGTGGCTCCACCCCACCGCGATGGTCTTGGCTTTGACATGACGTTCTTCCGTGGGAGTGCAGTTGATCACGTGCGATGTGAATTTAGCCGCAGAATATGCATTTGGCACGGACGTCCACAAGTACGCGGCAAGGCTCTGGCAACGGCACTCTCGACCCCGTCGTTTGAATGGAATGTTCGTCCAATACACCCCAAAACCACACGTCGCCCTTTTGATTCAGTGCGTGCATGCCCCATCCCGTGCACGCCATCGCTGCAATCAGCCCTACGTCGGTTGTGTAAATGGGCACCGGCGATTGCACCCTGCCCCACGACAGTTGATCTGCTTGTCGCAAGCGGCCGTTTCCGTTCTCTCCCACTTTAACACGATAGGAGCCTTCATGTTCTTTTACAGCTGCAACCACCCTGTCGCGGTACGGGGGAACGAATGCGGGTTGATGAGGAAGTTGCAGGTTGACATGTCATCCCACAGGACTGCCCCTGTAACGATAGAGTCTTGGACGGGGTGTACATGAGGGGAAACGGGGTGTCGGGTCGACCCAGATCAAATGCTTTTCAACCAAGAGATATATAATCTTATTCGTAATGAGCAGACATCAACAGTTTCAACCGTATTGTTGTGTTTATTCGAAACTGGAGAGGCAGGCCGAATGAACCGACAGACGAGAATGGGCAGAAGTTTGGGCAGAAGGAATTATCCAATCAGAGGGCTTCATTTTGTGATTGATCGACCAATCATTGAACGACATGAATCCGAGTTTGTGCAGTCTTGGATGTCGGCGCCATCACCAACTCAACACCAGCACCGCTACCCCACACGTTCATCTCCGGTGACACCTGCACCCACAACACCTGTGCGCAGCGAGAGTCTTTTCCACCTCCGGGCCGACATCAATGTCAAGGAGACTGTCTGCGGTCGGGACAGCAACGGGAAACGTCTTGCTCAGTGTGTGTTTGAAGGCTCAAGTTGGGATGTCCTCAAGGTGCAAATCTTTGCACACTGCCTGCCACACGTTGAGTACAAGGCTACACACGAAGGGGAGCCTCGTGTCTGGACGATCGAGAGCGAAAAACCCACCATCGCCGACTTTGACACGTTCATCATGCTCAAGATGGGACGATACTTTTTCAAGCCGGGCAACAGCAATCAGGCGCATCGTTACCTGGTAGAGCACCAGGATCACACGTTCTCTGTTGTCGTTCTCAAGTGGGGCAGTTTGGTGTCCACATCCACCGACTTGCAAGGCCTCCAAGAGCAATGTATTCGTCCCCAAGTTCAAGATCGATCTGGAGCTGCCGCCGAAAGTGCCCACAGCCAAATGGTTCGGGAGCTGAAGGGTCAGTGGTCAACGACGTACTCATCATTCGAATCGAATTGGCGCATGTGGGCAGCGTACATCCTGAAGACACCAACACATCAACATGCCCTTCACATATCAAACCCACCCCCAGCCACAATGCTTCACCTCTTTGAACCAGTGCTGAATGGGGCTCAAGTGCGGAACCAGAACTTGCAGAGCAGCATGGCAGTTGCCCTCGATGTTGTCGACTCAAGTCTGGAGGGTTTGGCGACGTTGAAGTGGTATATTCATGACGTAGCATCCCGCATCGAGCTGGACGAAACAGCGTTGAGAGCAAAGCGCCGCGCTATTGAAGGTTTCTTGCAAGAAGTGACCCCGGTTGCTCAGCGAACAGATTTGATTGATTTACTTCGGAACATTCCAAACGTAAATGATGATGAACACAAGGAAGATGACGACGAATGAATGATATTTATTCTTCTTCTCTTTCATCTTCATGGACCGGAACATATTCAAGCATGTTGTCATTGATGTCGCTTGATGCATCATCCTCGTCGACGAGTCGCTTGGATGGATCAAACCGGCCTTGCTTGCTGTAGCCACAGTGTCGAAAAATGTTCGTCATGTCGTACGACTTGAACGTTTTCAAAATGCTCATGATGACGAGCTTGAGATCCTTCGTTGCCGACTCCTTGTAATGCCGCTTGAAGGACTTCTTAATCAGCCCAAACACATATTCAATTGGATTGTAAAATGCGCAATACGCTGGAAGGAATATCGGAACTATCCCACGACCCCGGAGGTAGTACACGATGTCAGCGTGGCAATGGATACTGGCGCC